TATATATATAGGAACCGGATAGAAGCCGCTTCGTCGGCTACAGCGACGGTACACAGTACTATCTATGCATCGCGTGACGACCGACGTCGCGTCGCAAGTCCCCGTCACGCGGTCTTGGCAACGAATCTCGTGTCCCTTCGTCTCGCTGCGGAATAAGAGACGCTTCCACCACAATCCAACAAAGGTCCGAGGGAGAGGGAGAGAGTGAGGTGCAACAGTGATTGGTCTCCACTATCCACGATCCAACTCTTCTCTCTCTCCGTCATCGGAGATGGATACGTGCTGGGTACCAAAGAAGAGAGAGGAAGGGCATCGAGAGGCGCGCGCGTCGATGATTAAGTGGTGGGAGCGCTTGGTGGTGTTCCCAGTGCGGCGAGTTTGGATCGGCGTTGCCACCCGTCTCGGCATCCGAAGGACCGGTAAGATCGGCAACCCGGCACTCCGGGCTACAAGCCTGTTGTCGGCTTCTTCTTATTGTCGCCTTGGAACAGGGCTGAGGAAGCTGAGGAAGGAGGTGAGGTCGTGCGACTACGAGGACGTGCACGTCATGTGGGAGTTGCTGCGAAAGGCCGACCCCGAAATCGGAGGGCGTCCGTTCGGTTGCAGGGCGATCCAACGGGGGAGGCGGAGATGGAGGCGAGGTGGTGGCGAGCTGTGGGCCTCCCTCTGCCACTGGGCTCCTTGGAACCTGTGTCGCAACTTGTGATTCATTCCCCGTGTTATCTCTTCTCTTGCTTCCCAAGTATATACTCTCCTCTCAGGGCAAAAGTTGTAGGTCTCCGTTTCTTGTACATATATAGTAACAATCCATCATCATCGTCTCTCAATTCTATGGCTCCATGCTTCGAGCTCACAAACATCTTCCTTCATAACTTAAAAGAGGGGATTAAGCAGATTCCAAACCCGATTAACAGAGGCCCTAATGGTGTCCGTCGATTCGTTCAAGATGACTTCAAAATTTCCAGTGCTGACAAATTACCTCCAGTTTTTCTCACCGATAAACAAGACAGAGTCGAGCACCTTCAAGATGCAACTATCAGTCGGACATAATTTTATGACTTCATAACCACAACATGTCAACAAAATGTATTAAGTATACATCATGATGTACAACAAATATGTCAGATCTACATCTACAACTGAATTTGATGTTGACATTCAGTGTTAAAACGGCATAAATGTCATCGATGGAGTTGGAGAACACACAGAAAATAAGGCTATTGTGATTGTACGAGGTCGATTATGTCAACTATACATCTGAGCTCCACAAATGCCCAAATAATTGTAGTTACTTGGTCTGTTAGTCTTCTAAATCCACGGATCCTTCAAACTAGATTAGCCTCGTGAGTGAACAGCCACTCTGTATCAGAAGAAATTTACCTCTTTTTTGTCATAAGGTCTGGGAAATGCATTGAGTGAAAAATAGTCCCCTCCACCGAATTGCACAACATCCTCAGTGTTCACCGAGGAGCAAAGTTGACTTGAGCGAGGGGATAGACTAGGAGAAACTTCGACGGTGAAACGTGAAGAATAATGGGAGGAGGCTGCTGACTCAGAAACTTCAGGATGAGATTGCTTGTTCCCACTGTTGATAAAACCAAATAAAATTTAACTCCTTTGCGGTATGGAACCATAAAGAAACAATAGGACGTGCCCTAACTTAACAAACTTACTGGTCCGACGTATACTTCCTTTTCACGCTTGGCTCACTTTCAAATTTACCTTTATCTCTTGGGCTAAAAGCACTATCCTGTCATCATGAACATATTTTTCAGCCTTTCTAAACATATAAAGCTAGAATTACTTGGGAAAGAAAATAAAAGAGAACCTAACGCTTACAAATTTGATCCCCGCAAACGTCTGAAGAGAACCATGAAAATTATGGTAGTGGCAGTTTCGTACGAATGGATGCTCAAGCAACATGCCAGCAGTTGGCCTCTCTGCAGGGTTCCTACAAAAGCAACGCTGGAGGAAGTCCTTGCCCTCAATGGACAATGTTTCAGGTATTGGTGGATCTTTATTCAACACCTTAAACATAGCTTGAGGCTGTGATCATCACAAATAAAATCAAATCAGATGCACAAGGAAAAGGAAACTACATCTTTATTTAAAAAAGTAAAGCAATAAGGACTGATTAAATATTTACATGCCAAGTTATTTAGACATCTACCATTTAGCAATAGGATTAAGAAAACACATCTAAAGTCTTGATACAGAAGGCATGGAAAAACACATGAGACAGAAAACTGGGATAACTGTGAATTGGAAGGGTTAAAAGTCACCTAGCAGTGATTTGAACAATGGGTAACACCAACCTCAAGAATAAATTATATTCAACTTATTTTGTTGTAATTATCTGGAAATGGAAAGCAGCTGAAGTGGACAGAAGGAAACAAAACTTCTGCATGGCGCTACAAAAGATAAAACTAGTTGGACACATAACATGTATGTGCCACATAATCATGCATAAATCTTTATGCACAACACCAGTGGTTCATTGTGACAGTATATCCATTGTCTATGGCTTCAAATGTTTCGAATCTGCAAACACAACTAAAATTCATGAGCACATATTATACTTAGACAGCTTTGGCAGAGAAGTGTGATCAGAGTCAATCCAGCCCACCTTGATGCTGACTCAACCAATTTTCTTCCATGTATCAACAAGAATTTATATATCCTAAATTCCTAATGACATTGAGTATATTATGGCTACCACTGTCGGGCAAGAGGGAAATTTCATGGTGATCCTTGCAGTATATGCACTTTGCTTCTTTTTTGTGGCAGGGGCTTCCATTAACTGCAAAAGAGGCTACAATTGCTCCCATGCAACTTTAAACTAGATCTGCAGATCTCAAATTTGCAATTACTTCAATATTCGAGTAAGGTAACCCATCCTTCCTCAATCATAAATGTGACACAAACACTAGACCACAACCTTACTCTGGCGCCTTGTTAAAATGGTGCCTTCTCTTTTTCTCTCCGTTCTCTCTTTGGAATGTGAACATTTTAACGGACATATGATCCAGATCTTTCCATTTGATGTCCAAAAATCCACTTTGAATTATCTCCTCAAAGTTCCTAAGTCTACGCTTCCTCTTATTCATAAAGATCTCATAATCCTCCATCATTCTTATTCAAGCCCACTGAACTTCATAGATTTCAGGCAGCAGCGATGTTGGTGTCCCATGTCTGCTCAACCTGATTAGCCAAGCTGACCTTCAGATGATAAGCTCATTTAGGAGTTGGGTTGCATCCAGTTATGAGCATATGAGCATTAATCTGACCCCACTTTCCCAAATTGCATACCTTATTCCTCACCACTAAGTTTGTTTGCAAAGTGGTGTTCATCTAGTTGAAGCTAGACCACAAATAATTGCAAAAGCATTTAATTTTTAAAAAGATGTGTCCCTCGATCTTCCATGAGGCAGGACATTTGCAGCATACACCATTTTCAAGCTAAAAGAAAAGATCTCATTTCCTTGAAATAAACACCATCTATGTCCAAGAAACAGAGCTGTTCCTGAGAGACTCTCGTATTAGGAGTGTTTCATATACCATTTTTGTATTCTGTTCCATCATAGTGTGGCTCCTTGTCATGATAACCTGTGACTGTAAGCGGATTGGTCAAATCACATTAATCTTTTATTGTGAAGTGTGTTATTCTACCTCCTATCCTCTTTACCCCACTCCATATTTTCTTTATGATACCTTCCTCTTTAGGCCCATTGCTATAGCAAACTAAGGGTTTTTTTTATGACTAAGAGGCTAAAGAAACAGCAGGCATCCTTTTTCATATAATCAACATTTTGGGAAGCGGAGAATATAACTTTTATATATAGCTAGAAAATTACAACTTAAATTGAAAGACCGCAAGATGTCAACAACTTTAATAAAAAAGCTTACGGACCCCTTCTAGACCACTCCATGGGTGCTTCCCTGTGAACATCTCGATGATGGTACAACCCAAACTCCAAATGTCAACAGAAAGATCATAACCAGTTTCTTTGTTCATTGTAGCATGCAACATCTGCAATTGAAAATTAGATTGGTTACTAAAATGATATGAATATGACACAAAATGGCTGGACAACTATTTTAAACTTTCAGATACAAACCATATATACATTTGAAAGGTGCTTCTACTTGGTTTGGTTTCTAGGTGCTGTCAACATAAGATATGGGCCTGGATCAATTTCTTAAAAAGTTATTTTACCTCTTAGGAAGAAAGAACTTAGCTAATCAAGGAGCTGCTATATTTGCTACATTGTTGAATCAGTCAAGAAGAAATATCATCTACAGGTAATATAGAAAAGGATAAGGACCATCTACAGCTTTGTGATTCTATCTACAACCTATATTTTGATGGATTCTTTAACTAATGTTTTCAGGAATGACATACATACACCTCCCTTTTTGAGATCTTCTGGACAAGCACCTCACTGTAGGAAGATTTAATTTCAACAAAAACTGGCTCTTAGTACAAAAAAGAAACACGTTATATTTACTACTATTAGATTATTTGAAATTATTAATTTTCAACTGTATATGATATAAAAAATTGAATGTCAAAATTGTTATCCCATCCCTTTCTCTCTTTGTATTCATGACACTGCAGAAACCACAGACATTTTGCAACCACCGCCTTAGGCAGCTACTTACTTCCTCTTCCAGTCCTTTTGCTGCCATCATAGGCCTGGTCACAAAGGTCTTATATCAATTTTTCTCTCTTTTGCAACCACCACCATGAGCCAATAATCATGACACTGCTTCCCCATATCATAAGGTTCCTTTTTGTGATTTTTTGTCAATCTGGCAGCAGGCTTGATGAGGGACCACCATATGATGGATCGACATGACGAAAGCATAGACAAGGAAGAAAGTATAAGAGATATGAGGAGTCATCTCATCAATTAGGGCAAGAGAGGAACCTTAATATCCAAATGGAGAAATTAGGGAGAGAGTTACTTTGACTGATTATGACATCACAGGTTGATTAGGAAGGAAGATTTAAGGGATAGGAGAATTATCAATTAAAGCAAGAGAGGGGCTCGAATGTTAGATAGCAAAATTAGAGAGAGAGAGAGAGAGAGATTTGACTGAATATAACATCATATAGTCTTAAGTACCTCTTTTTTCCCCTTAACTACAGAAATCTCACAAAGTGCTACCTGATTAAGATAACCAGAACTGTTTCTCAATGAAAGGAGACCAGCAGATAATAATAACTAGTATCTAAATTTTTTGCAACTATACTAATTCTCAATAGGCAAACATGTCTAACCTCGTTGCTTATATAAGCATGATTATATCACCAAACAAACAAAAAAAAGAACAAAACACTCAGCCTATGAACAACAATTTATGTCAAAGGAGATAATGTAATGTTAACTAGAAGTGAAAAATACCTCTGGGGCCATCCAAAATGGTGAACCCTTTAATGAATTAGCAGGTGCTGCTCCACTTAACTGTTTGATAACAAGATCAAATTGAACACTAGTCAACTTGATACACTTAAGAAATTGCGTAATTGTGTGTCTAACAGAACATATATGTATATTGAAAAATACAAGGGTCTCCTAAACAACAGGCTCATGATGTTGGGCAGAACTCATTCTGAAAATGATGATTCACAATCTAATCCAGTCCAAGGAGTCAAGTTCTAATCATAGTTTGGACTTTGGATTGGTTGAGCCTACATCAAACTTTTCAAATTATTCATACATTTTCAGTTTTCTTCATATTTTTATGTTCTAATTTTGGGATTTTGTATTGTGTAGAATAAATTTCATCTCATCATTACTTTGGATTTCAG